TAATATTCATGGATAGAAAGAATTAACATCATTAAAATGTCCATACTACCCAAAGCAATCTACATATTCAATGCAATTCCTATCAAGATACCAATGCCATATTTCATAGAACTAGAACAAATATTTCAAAAATTTATATGGAACCATTAAAGTCCCTGCAAACAACAGTAATCTTGAGAAAGAAGAATAAAGTTGGAGGAATCACTCTACATGATATCAAACTATAGCACAAGGCTATGGTAATCAAAACAGCATTGTACTGGCATATAGATCAATGGAACAGAAGAGAAAGCACAGAAATAAACCTACACCTATATGGCCAATTAATATTTGACAAAAGAGGCAAGAATATACAATGGGCAAAAGACAGTTTATTCAATAAACAGCTTTGAGAAAATTGAACAGATACATGCAAAAAAAACAACACAGAAACTAGACCACCTTCTTACACCACATACAAGAATAAACTCAAAATGAACTAAAGACTTAAATGTAAGACTCAAAACCATAAAATGATTAGAAGAAGACATAGGCAGTAAAACCTCAAACATTTCTCTTAGTAGTATTTTTTCTGGTATATCTCCCCAGGCAAGGGAAACAAAAGAAACAGTAAACAAATGGGACTACACCAAACTAAAGAGATTTTGCACAGCAATAGAAACTGTCAACAAAATCAAAAGACAATCCACTGAATGGGAGAACATATTGGCTGATACATCTGACAAAGGTTTAATATCCAAAATTTATAAAGAATTTATAAAACTCAACACCAAAAAAGCAAATAATCCAATTACATAATCAGCTAAAGACCTGAATAGACAGTTCTCCAAAGAGGACATACAGATGGCAGGGAGACCTATGAAAAAGTGCTCAAAAGTCACTAATCATCAGAGAGATGCAAATTAAAACCACAATGAGGTATCACCTCACACCTGTCAGAATGGCTCCATCAATAAATCAACAAACAACAAGTGCTGGTGAGGGTGTGGAGAAAGGGAACCCTAGTACACTGCTGGTGGGAATGCAGACGGGTGCGGCCACTATGGAAAACAGTGTGGAGGTTCCTCAAAAAATTAAAAATGGAGCTGCCTTTTGACCCAGTGATCCCACTTCTAGGAATGTATTCTAAGAATCCTGAAACACCAATCAGAAAGAATATGCACCCCGATGTTCATAGCAGCATTACTTACAATAGCTAAGATCTGGAAACAGCCCAAGTGCCCATCAGATGAGTAGATAAAAAAGCTGCGGGACATTCACACCGTGGAGTACTATGCAGCTATAAAGAAGAAGGATTGCGCACCCTTTGGGACAGCATGGATGGAACCGGAGATGTTAAGCGAAATAAGCCCTTCGGAGAAAGACAAGCACCACATGATCTCACTCATATGTGGAATATAATGAACAAAATAAACTGATGAAAAAACAGATCCAACTCCTGGTGCCATTTTCTCTGCTGACACTCTGACGTCCCCAGTCTGATTCTCAAAATGTGCTCTCAGGAATTTGGAGCAGATATTACGAGAGGTCTAACCATTTTTTCCTCAGGGTCAATAGCATTTCTCTAGTGATTTTCTTTTTCACACACTCTGATTCTGACCTTTTCACCTTTGTCCCCTCTACAGTGCCCGGCATGTAAAATGGGACCAACAAATGTGCGGGAGGCGAATGGTGACTCTGACTTTCCCATACCCCTCTATGTACGAGGTTCCTAGTTACCAGACTGCTGACCGTTGTCTGAATTTTCTTATTTTAAAACAGCCGTGATCCACCAGTCCATCTAGCAAAGCGTTCTTTCAGACTGTGGCTAAAAGGACAACTCCCCCCTGAGTTCAAGGTTAGACCCTTGAAACTTGGTGCTGCAATGCTATAAATCAATTTCATGTTAAATAATCAATATAAAACAGCACCAGCACCTATAAGAGCTTCCTTGATTTGCAAACATACCAATCAAACTATGAGAATTGACCAACACAATGTGGGAGCCTAAGCCCATTGTGTTCTCTCCATCTCCCTTTGCAATGCAATTGTTCCATGTTCATTGCTCCAGCCTTAAGTGTGCGATCAGCTGACAAATAGAGGAACTATAGCCCTCCTCCACCTGCCACCAGAGTAAACCCAGTCCCCCTAACCAGCATCACTGTTAATGATAAGATTTTAGATGCCCTAAAACTAAAATAAAAGCACATTAGCTCACTTCTTAAAAGGTAACTGCCAATGTAATTACACAAGAAAAAGCAATAAAAAGTATATATTTGGAAATAGGGGAATAAAGTATCATTACTTGTTACCAAGTCTATGATCAACCTAAAAACCCCAAGATTATCAAAAGGAAATAACACTATATTTTTGAAATACTAAAATAGGTAAATTGGATGGTTTTTAAATCAATGCATTAAAATTTATTTATTCCTTCATACAAAAATAAGAGCTCTTTAGAAAACAGGGTGAAAGGAAAAATTCTGATTTAGGAAAAGCTATATTCACAGGAATAAACTTGGCAAGAAAATGTGTGTATCTCCAGGAAGAAGGACCTAAACCTCTAATAAAGGGCATAGATGCTGCCAGACCTTGTCCCAAGTGTCCTATTATTTTACTCTCACCAGCAATGTTCTGGTTGCTCCCAGCCTCACTTGCTGTCTTTTTATTTTCCCTGCAGCTCTACTGAGGTATGATTGACCAAAATAAAACCACTGTATATATTTAGAGTGTACAATGCAATGATTTGATACATGGGTACTTTGTGATGATCACCATCGGGTTAATTAACACACCCATCACCTCACATAATTATCTTATTTCTGTGTGTGGGAACCCTTAGGGCCGGCTGTCTTAGCAAAGTCCAAGCGCACACTACAGTATTACAACCGCAGTAACCATCTGTATCAACATTTATCTCGTCTTTTGATACTAGCCATCGAACAGGGTTTTTTAATAAACCGAAAGTATTTTTTGGTATTCAGAAAAGCAATGTTTTAAGGTTTTTGTATTTAAAAAAAATTTTTTTAAATAAGTGCTTCGTGAATTTTGCATAGGATATAGGAAATTGAGGAGCTTTGGGTTTGATGTATAGTGCATTATTTTTGTTTTGCGTATTAAAATTAGGAAATAGGACCTTGTTAGTACTTTGACACAGAAGGTTGTGTTTTTAGGAATAGATTACTGACAGTAAGTAGGAGTGGGCCATATTGGATTGTCCTTTAAACACATTTATGAGACTGCCCAGTAAAGGACTTGGAGGGATTCAAAAGAAGGGGATAACAGCGTGGAACAGGAGTGGCGCTCACCGACATCCGCGGCTCCCCTGCACGTCCCCAGCCCCCTGACAGTGAGGTCAGGTCTCTGTGATTCTTCCTCATGGATGGCTGGGGACAGAAAGCAGCAGGGTCACTGCTAGTCTGGGAATTCACAGGTCACCTCAGTGTCCTAGTCTCTCTCCCCTGCTGTGATGATTGTCATGTACGCAAGAAAAAAAGCCCATTGGAAGGATTTCCACTTGAACTCTTTGAACTGATCTTCCTGAGTATACACACCCCAGAGTTTTATTGGAGACACTACTTAGACAGTTGACCCCGAGAGGTGTATCCCCTGAAATGACAGAAGTGGACAGGAAAGAAAAGCAGGTGTGCCAGGGAAGCCACAAGTGAGTTACTACACAGCCTCGGGGTGGGCAGCGACCGTTACTCTCCAGCTGACTCGGACAACACAGCTTTTCTCAGGCTTCCCCTTCTGTCCCTGTCTCCCCCTGTACTGTCCCCTAAAAGTGGTGTCCCCTAACACATGTTCTCTCTCCTCCCTCAGGTGACTGCCTCTAGAACAGTCACGGCCACCAGGTAAATGAGGTTTGAGTACCTTCTCAGGGTGCCTTGCGCTTAGGCACACTTGTGCCTGTGAGGACACAGCCCCAGTGGGGAGAAATCCAATGGACCTGCGTCCCCAGGGTCCCTGCCTTTCTTTCCTCTCCAGTTGACATTATTTTCTCTATTGACGAGAAAAGACAGTCGGGCCACGTGATAGCAAATAACTCCCGATTCATTTCCCACTTGGACAGTTTGTTTCGCTTATGTGGCGTAAGGGAGCATTTCAGACAGACACGGAAGAGGCTCATTTGCAGCGAGGAAATTGGGCGGAGGTGACAGAGAGGAAGGAGACAGACTATGGTTTCTGTTTCGTTTCTTTTTCTCTTGATGCTGAACTGGCAAGTCCCAGGTTTGAACGCGGAGCCATCTATCTGTGTTTGATGAGCTGGCCAGGTAAGCCCACGTTGGAAAGCTCTGCAGTGTTGGTTTGTAGTTCCCAGGCTGTGCTGGGAAACAAATTTTAAGAATGAATTCACCCTCTTTTAAGGGAAACGACTTAGAGCGACTGCCTTTGGCTGAGCCAGTTCACAGGAAATGTAAACTTCGTGTGACTTAGTTTACACGTTTCTGGCAAAGAGGCTCCTTAGCATAAAGACAATAAATGGCACTCACCGGGATGAACTTGGGCGCGTTAATGTGTGGCCTGAGTTTTCTGTGCCTTGTCGCTTTAGATATGCTGCCAGATTCAAACAAGAGACTCACCAGGTGACTCCAGGCAAGTGACTTGGTTTCTCTGTAAATTACCGACTAATTCTGTCTGCATCCACCTTGTCTGCTATGTGTAAACAGATGACGCAAGGCTGTGAGCCTGCTCTAGGAACATAAGGGTCTTTCAGATTCAGAACTAAAAGATAATGGGGTGGTGTTGCTGTTTCACTGCCCTCTGGTCTCTGTCCCTCAGGAGCTGCAGTGGACCAAAGTGAATGCAGTGGCTCGAGTAAGAAAGTGACTTCCGGTGTGTGTTCCTCTTTGCATATTCTGTGTCTATTTTTTATAAAAACCAAGCTATCCTCTCTACGCAGAGTACAAGCTATGACTGTTTGTTCATTAGAGAGAATCATTTTACGCTGCTCATTCCATATTTCCCTGTTCCAGCCATCTCTTCGGTGGAACAGGGAAATATGGAATGAGCAGTGTAAAATGCTCAGCCAAGGTCAGGGTACTTAACCCACCTGGAGGTGGAATCCACAATTTGGCTCCACATCTCTGATCCTTGGAAAATTGGTCTTTCAGAGGCCAGAACAGAGTGATTCAGGCAAGCCTTGCATGACGGAATCTGTTTCTAAATCCATCTCATCCCCAACTCCCCTAGTATGTTTTCCTAGGATCCAACATGGCAATATGCTATGGTCTTAGAGAAATCCAGGTGTTGAAAGCCCACGATTAATTTGTTTTATTTGATGAGTTAGTTACCTTGTATTTCACAAATACAATGTTTTGTGAGGGTACCTTTTCCCATAATGTGAGACTAACTCCTGATCATTAAAAATATTCCATTGGATGGTCCGTATAGTAATAACACATAAACTTGCTCCCAACAGAACCATATATGAAGAACGACCCCACCAGAGGATCAGAGCTGAGAATCATCCTGCTGGGCAAAACAGGGACAGGCAAAAGTGCCACAGGGAACAGCATCCTGGGGAAGCGAGCATTTGCGTCCCAGCTGTGCGCCCAGACCTTCACTAAGACCTGCAGTGAAAGTCGGGGGAGCTGGGGCGAGAGAGATATGGTCATTATTGACACGCCAGATATGTTTTCCGGGACGGACCACTCTGGTCCCCTGTACACAGAGGTGCAGAAGTGCTACCTGCTCTCGGCCCCAGGGCCCCATGTGCTACTCCTGGTGATGCAGCTGGGCCGGTTCACCACCGAGGACCAGCAGGCTGCACAGAGGGTCAAGGAGATCTTTGGAGAGGATGCCATGAGACACACCATTGTCCTCTTCACCCACAAAGAAGACCTCGATGGAGACTCCTTGATGGAGTACATCCGCGACTCCGCAAATAAAGCCCTGGGCAAGCTGGTGGCAGCGTGTGGGGGGCGAGCCTGTGGCTTTAATAACCAAGCAAAAGGGAGTGATCGGGATGACCAAATGAAGGAGCTAATGGACTTGATTGAGGGCCTGGTGATGGAGAGAAGGGGTGAGCACTATACCAATGAACTGTACAGCCTAGTGAGTGGGTCAGCTTGTGGGCCTGAGCAGTCAGAGGAAAGGTCAAAGGATTTCAAAGGGAGTCTTATAAAGTACATGGAAATTCAGAGACAGCGCACAACCATGGCCAAAGAAAATTGCCTAAAAAGAGGTCTAATCAAAATATTACTATGTATTCTCATTTGTATTCAGTTGTTTGTCAAATTGCTATTTCTGTTATTTTATGTATTGTTCAGAATATGCCATTTTTTTTACTGCTTACTCTATAGTATATGCAATTTGTTCTGTAGCTTATGGTTACTTCTCTTCAGAAAATTAATGATAATTCCTGGGAAGACCATTGGTGTGGAAGGCAAGACTCCTAGACGACAGTTATAGATCAGTAATTATCATCACTGTGCTAAGTGGGTGAACCTCAGGGCCTTCTCTGTAAAATGTACACCTGACACCAGTAAATATTTGAGATTCTGTGAAGATCAAAATCTTTTGAAAGCTGTAAACATAAAATTCCTTCCATTTGCAAATGTCTGAAGTCTATTTTGTGTCCCTCAAAACTCCTTTTCTTCTTTAAAATAATATGGGCAATACAATTTCTACCAAATATAATAAAATAACAATGATATAAGTAAGCTGTCAAGTTCCTGAGGTCACGTGTCTTTAATCCCGTTCTGTGGTTTTATCTCAGAAGATGGTAAATTGACACATGGCTCATTTCAACAGTGAAACCAGTTTTACCCACAAACCACACAGACACACTCACACATCTGATGTCAGTCAAAGGACTCAGAGTGTGGAGAGACTGAACGGTCACAGGCCTGAGAGCACAAGCTCACAGATCGCTGTCCTCCAGGTTCCGAAGACTCCGCACAGGCCCTACAAAAGCCCAGGCTGAGGCTCGTCCTTGTGGGGAAGACAGGGGAAGGAGAGAGCGCCACAGGGAACAGCATCCTGGGCCACAGGCACTTCCTCTCCAGACTCTCAGCCACCTCAGTGACCAGAACCTGCGAGGTTCTGCGAGGTGGGGAACCACAAGTGGGACAGGTGGCACGCAGAAGTCGTGGACACCCCAGGCCTTTTTAGCTCTCAAGTCCCCAGGGCACACCCGGGCTGGGAGAAGCGGCCCACTGTTACCTGCTGTCTGTGCCTAGCCCCCATGTGCTGCTCCTGGTGACTCAGATGGGCCGCTTCACTGAGCAGGACCAGCAGGCGGTGAGGGCACTCAAGGACCTGTTTGTGGACAGCGTGGTGGTGGAGCCTATGGCCCTGCTGTTCATAAGCCAGGAGGACTTGCTGCAGGAGTTCGTGCCAACACGGACCACTGCGGGCTGCTTTGGGAACTGGTGGCCCAGTGGGGGCGGGGTATGCAACTGCCTTCAATAACCTGGTGATGGGCAGGGTGCGGGAAGACCAGGTGCGGGAGCTACTGGCACTGGTGGAGCACCTGGTGTAGGACCAGGCGGGTCTCCCTAGTCCCACCACGTGTACCTCCTGGCCCTGGTGCTGGCCTGCATGAACCCCATAGAGTGGCAGCGCCTGGTGACCAAAACCTGTTGAGGGGTGCCCGTAGGAGTCAAGGGGGCTCGAGCTGCAGGACAGGCTGGGCAGTAGATGGCATGCTGCTAGGCACCTTTGCCCTGTCCTGCCTGCTACTTGCTAGTCTCTGGCCTGGGCCGAGACCAGGACCCATAGTTAGGTTTAAAAAGGCAGGTCACCTGCCCTAGCCCATGTGGCTCAGCTGGTTAGAGTGTCCTCCTCTGCACTCAAAGTGGATTCCATTCCGTCAGGGCACATACCCAGATTGGGGGCTCCAATGCAGGTCCAGGCGCCTATGGGAAGCAACCAATGGATATTTCTCTCCCTCTCCCTTTCTCTCTTTCTGGAATCAATGGAAAACATGCTTGGGCAAGAAAGGACAGTGGAGCTGAGCAGAAACTAAAACTTCATTCCACAGGAAACCTGGAGTTTCAAGCAGAGTTTTAATGACACAGAAAACTAAACACTATCAACTTTGCAAAGGCCCCAAGTTCACTTTTTAAGTTTTTAAGTCTCCACTTTGATTATAGGTACACAGTTTCAAAATAAATATCTCTAACTTTAAAACATACTTAAAACGTTTTAGTGGTCTCCATGCATTCATTCTCTCTTGAAAAATAGTGAAATGGCTGGTAGTTTCTAGTAAAAAATGGATTTGTGGCAAAAGGAAAACAATTTTTATTTTGAGCTTTTTTTTTTTTTAATTTAGACACTGTCATAATCCACTGGGGCTTCTTTAAAAACACACACACACACACACAAAAACACCACCTTGTTCATAAGGTGGCTTATGAACAAGAGAAATGAGTTTTTCACATTCTGGAGGTTGGAGTCCAGATCAGGACCAGGTTGCCCCATAGTAAGGTTCCAGTGAGGGCTCTACTGGGCTTGCAGACTAACAACTTGCCACTGTGTCCTCATGGAGGGGAAGGGACCAGTCAGCTCTCTTTATGAGGTCACTGATCTCGATCATGAGGTACCTCTCAGTGGTACACCTCCTAATACCATCCTCTTGGGCATTAGGTTTTCAACGTTTGAATTTTGGGTGGACACAAACATTCAGACCACAGTGGACACTGACCCACCTTAATATATTTCTAGTTCTCACAAAGGGTAGGACCTCCCTTTGTGATCCTTATAGATTTTTAACCTACCCCATCATTCTTTTAACCTTGTTTCTGTAAATAATAACAACCTGTTAACTAACATGTGACTGCAGAAAAACAGCCTTAAGAATTCTAGCGCCCAGCTGGGCATGGCTCAGTGGTTGAGCATTGACCTAGGATCCAAGAGGTCGAGGTTCGATTCCTGGTCAGGGCCCATGCCTGGGTTGCAGGCTCGATCCCCAGTCAGGGGCATGCCAGAGGCAGCCAATCAATGACTCTCTCATCATTGATGTTTCTGTCTCTCTCTCCCTCCCTTCCTCTCTCTGAAATCAATAAAGATATATTTAAAAAAAATAAAAACTAAAAGAATTCTAGAAACTAATTTCAAAAGAAGCAATGACCTTCAGGCATTCAGCTCTGGCAGATGCACTGACNAAAGAATTCTGGAAACTAATTTCAAAAGAAGCAATGACCTTCAGGCATTCAGCTCTGGCAGNCTAAAAGAATTCTAGAAACTAATTTCAAAAGAAGCAATGACCTTCAGGCATTCAGCTCTGGCAGATGCACTGACCTTCAACCAATTATCTGAACAGACTGTGTTGGCTTGCACTTAGTGCCCTCAATGGAGAACTCTCAATCCTCTCCTTTGGATTCCTTTGTTCTGGTTGGGGTTTTTTTTCCTTCAGTCTCCCTCCTTATAAAAACCTCCGCCCATGTCCCATTGGTAAGATGGTCTTTGGGACGAGAGTCCCTCATCATTTCAGGCTGCCTGCTCTTGAATAAATCACTTTTCCTTACACCAGCACCTGTCCAGTACTGGCTGTCAAAGCAACAGGTAGCTGAACCTGAGTTCAGTACCTGATTTTTATTACAATCTATGAAGGAGATGCCAAGGTCATATACTGCCCACCCTCTCATGATACCTGGTCCCATTTTGGAGAAGATGTGTAGAATTTACTTTTAGAAAGGAATCTGCCTCCATTCTCCATCCTACCACCTTTGCCTGCTCCAAGATTGACATGCACCACATTCTGGCAGGTCTGCGATGCTTCCCCCAGTCTTTTCTTAGGCTTTATTCAGTCTTGTTAATATTTTGTCTGTGACTCATTTCAGCATCTCCATCAATATCCTTTCTGACGTTCCCAGGACATTTTGTTATTTGCTCATATCTGCCTAAAAGCCAATTCCAATGTGGGACACACGTCTCCCCTGCTACCAGACCCATCTTGTAACCCACCTAAACAGTCCTTTAACATTATTTCTGTAAATGTTGACCTGCAAATTAAATGTGACTGTAGGTAAACAGCCTCTTTGCTTAAGAATTCTAGAAACTAACTTCAAAAGAAGCAGACTCTGACCTTCAAACATTCTGGCTCTGGGATAATTGCTGATCGAAGCTGCCAAGAGTTTCTTATCTCAGGGACACTCCCCATGATCCCTCTCACGGCATCAGTGGACTATAAATGTTTTATTGGAAGAAGGAAATGGTCATTGGGAGAGTTTATAAGCTCCAAGACTTGGTAAAGTTGAACAGGTGTGCACACTGGGAATCCTCTATTTTCACCATTTTGGATTTATGGCATTTGGACCTTGTAGAGACATTTTTGGTATTGGTTGGTATGAGATAAGATTCTAAAGACTTGCCCTGGCTGGTGTGCTCAGTGGTTAGAAGGTTGGCCTGTGCACTGAAGGGTCTCGGGTTCAATTCCTGGTTAAGGGCACATACCAGAGTTGCAGGTTCGATCTCCAGCCCCCATCAGGGCACTTGCAGAAGTCAACCAATTGATGTCTCTCTCATATCAATGCTTCTTTCTCTCCCCCCCCTTCCCACTCCCCCTTCCAGTTTCTCTAAAAATCAATTGAAAAAATATCCTTGGGTGAGGATTTTTTTAAAAGACTGGGTGAAGTCAAACAGGTGTGCACACCAGGAATGCTCTGTCTCCGCCATTTGGGTTTTGTCCCATTTGTCGCATTCATGGTATCAGTCGGTGTGAGTTAAGATTCTAAGACCAGAGGATTTGGTTTGAGAGTAGTTGTTTGTTTGAACTTTATCTTTGTTTTAGATATTGGTTTTTGGTTCCAGCAGAGAATCCATTCAGCCATATTTTAGTTGAATGGTTGACTGTTCGAGTTCTGAAACGTTCAAAAAAACAAGGGATCAACAGTCAACAGCTAGGCCTCAGGATCTTGCCCTCAGCGGAAGCCGTGTGGCATGTTTGACTTCCGAGGCATATTCAAAAACCAAAGCTTTTATTTCTGGGTTTGCAGTGTTCATAAACCGAAATGTTCGTCAATGGAGACGTTCGAAAACCAAGGTACCACTGTATTCCAAAAAACTCAAGATGATGCAAGACTTCCAAGCTCTTTTTTCAAGTCTAGCATTATCCTAATCCCCAAACCAGATAAAGATACTACAAAGAAAGAAAATTACAGGCCAACATCCTGGATGAAGATAGATGCTAAAATCCTCAACTAAATATTAGCAAACAGGATTCAGCAATACATTAAAAATACCATACATCACAACCAGATGGGATTTATTACAGGGATGCAAGGATGGTTCAATATTTGCAAATTAATAAACCTGATACACCACATAAACAAATGAAGAATAAAAATCATATGGTCTTATAAATAGACGCAGAAAAAGCATTCAACAAAATCCAGCACCCATTTTTGATGAAAAGTCTCAACAAAGGGGAAATAGAGGGTTCATACCTCAATGTAATAAAGGCCATA